TTATGCCCGCCGCCGCCACACGGCTTAACGATATAGGGATGAGATGAGGTGGTTAGATGATGGGACCAGGGGCATCGTGAGGGCATACCACACCAGTGAGGTCAGGAGACTTACAGAAGCTTCCATAACTTAAACCTTCTTCCCTCGTATAAATCCTCCGTTTATGTTTATATGAGCTGTATTAGTAGTCAATGTAAGTGATATAAAGATTGGAATAAGGATATCTGATTTAGTCATTAGTGACTACACGACGCGTGGATCGTGATGCTTCAGTTACTATAACACTGTGATTATAGCTGTTTGAAATGATGTTATATAAATACGTTTATATGCATTGAAGGATGAACTACCCAGTAAGCTCCGATGTACTGTTCTGCCTCTCAATCTCTACCTGCCAGGTCTGGTGCACAAGTACCGACTGACTCGTATGACTCTGCCCGTCCCAAGGGCGACTTGGCTCCGTTGTTACTGCCGTGGCTGTGGCTGTTGTCCCCTTATCCTTTTTTGCGCCCCAATTGTCCGCATCGACCATTTCGTAATTTTGCCTTCGGTATGAAGCGTTTGAGGCTAGAGTGGTAATCCCTCTAAGAGTCCGTGGCGCTGTATCGCCAGTTCGGCTCCTAGAGTCGCTGCCCTTGGTTCGTGTTTGCAATCCATCACCAGCATTCATTTGTCCTGATTCAAGGCTATCCATGAACGGCTTGAGGAAGGGAACGCATGTTACCATAATGCTCATGCATTGTATAACCTGTACAATCACAGTTGGCGCCCACATGTCAAATAAGGGATTGTTAAGCTCTGTAGCTTTGTGAAAGTAGTAGATGTGGCAGATGATGGCTGGAGTAATCCTGGATACCGTCAGCTGCTGTTATCGGTTTCGTTATCAATTGATAAACTCACAGAATGCGACATCCAAATACTCCAATTACTAGGTATTTCTTAAACCTTGAGGTCTGAAGACTCTTGAACATGCCAATCAGGATTCCCGTGATGATAATGTCAGTCATAATGTTGACAATGTCGACCACGATCCAAAAAAATACCTATATCGATTAGAAATAAGGATCATCGCTGCTGCGCTGAGGAAGGGGTAGTGCAACTCACACGATTGAAGCATTTGCCGTGAATATAGTCCCACGGCTTTGGTAGACTGCACTCAAACAGAGACGCTACGATTGAACCCAGAGCCCAGAGACTGATGACTCCTTCGGTAATCAGGATCAACCGTTGACGTTCTCGAGGTGCCATACTCCGAATCGTTCTTGTCGCCGAGATCTTGGTGAGGAAGAGAACGGTGATGAACAGAATGTTGGATGCGTATTGACCCTGTATTTCACATGGTTTGTTAACTGTCTGGCGATCTAGAATCTGTCGATAAAGGATATCATATACCTTGAGGATAAGAGAAATCTGGTCATTATCAAGACCATCACGTTTGCCAAGACCAGCTGAACCCTCGAATATGACGATAATTGACTGGATAATAGCCAAGACCTAATTCGTCGACGTCAATAATGTGTGACATTATGTTGTGTTCTCCGGGGGAGAAGTGTTCTTACTGTTGATGCAGCGACGAGTCCATCATCCAAACTGAGACTTCCCACTGTCGTCACCCTCGTCACTATTCGTACGGTAGCAGCCAGAATTGAAATAACCATCAGTAATGCCGTCATGGCCCGAACTATCGGTGCCTTGTTCACGGCTGTCGCATGCTCACGAGGCGTAAGCATCTTGTTTGCAGTTCAGATGCTCCTCACGCAGTTCTCATAAGGTAGAACGATATGGGTAAAAGAATGTACGTCAGTGAAGGAAGTTTCGGCACGAATTTAGACGCAAGGCAGAAAACACCAACCACAACACGGGAATAGCAAACAATTCGAAGAAAGCAGAAGATGGAGGACGTGCACTACAGCGGATCGTTACCAGTGTTACAGGTGTATATACACCTCCCCTTAGTCTAGGAACCGCGGGTGCTTCACAGCAGGGTAAACGGCCGCATACCTAGACTGTGGTACTAGAGTCAAAATAACGTTTGTATACTAAGCCTGTTGAGGTGAGGTAATATGACTTCTTTTGCGTTCTATGCAAAAGGATTCTGAAGTAAGTTTATGGCTTCTTCTCTATTGGTAGGCAGTTAGTGACGAGAACGAAGCCTTCACAAAAGGCGGTTCACCTTTTTGTGGCTGATGTAACAGTAGTCCGTCTCAAGTTGGCATGTGAGAGCTGATATGCACATAGCAGCAGGACTAAAGAAGCTAGCAGCTCAAAAAGATGCACACCAGGTATTCAACCTTATTGCCCCAATGCATCCGTAGACTCCCATAAGACACCAGTGGCGCACTTCCCCCACAATTAAGGGTATGTAATTTGCCACAAGGGTCCTACAGCAGTCCCTCGAGGACAAATGCACGACTACCACCAATGTGACCCCTGTCGCTGTCACTGCCACATGCCCCACGTATGATGTGGAATCAGTCGATTGTGGTGCATGACTCGTGTGGCGCTTAATTACGCCTCAACTAATCTCCTTCCTCCTCGATCCATTGTGTCAGGCCAAGGTCTAGACCATATGGACCAAGATGGGGATTCAGCCCAGATTGGATGATTCAACCTAATTAACCCGAGAAAACCAATATGCTGCAATTCTCACAGTAATCTGTTTATATATAAAAGAATTGAGATTTATGCTCTGCGGTCGCTACCCTCAAGATTACTTCACCTCGAGCTATGTCCTTGACAGTGATATGACTGCCCGTGCAACCAAGCTTGAACACGAATATGCAATTTATTAAAGGGGTTCTGCAGGGGCTAAGATCGTATATTCCTCTTTTGACTCGCCCCAGGAGTCAGGAACCCGTCTGTCGGGTTGTTCCGCCGCGATGCATCAACCTTCACATATCATTTCATGGCTTGGTCTCGACCTGCAGCGGCAGATAAGAATCAGTCAGGGTCTCCATCTAACTCAGCTCGCTACCATTAGCTCTATCAGCCCTATACATGGGGAATGACTCTTGGCAACGGCATCGAGTCATTGCTCAAGACGCGAACCGTGCGGGGGCAAAGTCCATCCGAGCTGTCACCAATTATCTCGAACAGATTCAGCCATGACTCGTCAAGTAATCGAGTACTGCCGCCCGGAGCCTCGGGGCAACGGGCAGCTTGATTGTACTGGGCATAGCTCCAGAGCTATCCAGATAACTGCATCTCTTTAAGCTACCGAATACTAGTGGCTCCCAGCTAAATTCCAAGACATGCCTCTTTGCTAAACGAAAGTGAAAGCATCTATACGATTGGCTAGCTGTCATGTCACTGGGGCTCACCAGCATACGTTAGCCTTAGGAGATACGGTACTCTGCCTATGCTGTTTTTAGCCATGGTGGGCAAGCCGCGATTTGCTAGTCTCCTCGGTAGCAAAAGCCATTTTATCCCTTAAGGACCGATAAGGCATAGATAAGGTCACACATTTAGGTTAGACCAACCAAGACGTCAGTATCAGAGGTACCTATCTGCAAGGATTACAAGGTTACAAATGAAGTATTGCTGATAATACATCCTGCAGATCGCTACCTTTGCTCTCACTGCTCTACCACCTTGAGGCTTGCAATCAATACCGAGACCAAAAGGCCCACAATACGTTAAGTGTGCCTTACCGGTCCTTAAAGGAATAACGGAAAATACTGTGGCGTTTTTTCCCTAGCATCTGGACTCTGCGGTATGGTATTGGAGCTTTGCCCCCACCACCAAAATTCCAAAGCCATTGCTGTTATTCAAATGTGGATCCCACACAGTTTCAACGCGTTGGTCATGATAGCTGTCGACTTCAACCCTGGAAATCCGTTGAGGTCTTGTATGAGGACGACCGCGGCCAGCTTGTAGTCTCAAGCATGGCGTGGCTCCAAATCAACCTACATCGCCGCCTTGGTGGCACCGGCCACGCGACCATAAGCCCTTGAGTGATCCAAAGCACCCAACATCAAGAGGCTGAAGTAGATGAGACACATGAGGTGGCATACAAGTGTAAAATTTTTTATTTATCTTGCAATACTCCCCAAAGTCAACTGAGTAGTGAATTTCGTAACCATCGAAGATCAGTGATCCTTGCAGAACCTTCTAGACTTTGCCAAGCCCTCAGCATATCATAGTAGAGAGATTTAGCAAAGCCTGCCACGCACCACTTCAAAAGTATCTCTACTGCTGTATTGTGTGTTGTGCCTTTACAAGGTGTTGTGGCCTCGGGTGAGTCACCACGCTGAAACGACTCATGCATGAAACAACCACCTTGGACCCTGGAAGAGGCAGTTTCCAGGTAAATGTACATTTAGAAGAGTCTAGGCCCACGTCAAAAATAGCATCGATCCCTTCTCTGAGTCTCAGGCCTCCGTTCTTTGCTATTTCACATGTCGAGATAAAGTGTACAGAAATAGGGTTCTGTCGGTTACATTACGAGCTTCAGGGCTGAAAGAAGGCGGAATGTAAGCATCTACGATTCCTCTCAGCCAATCAAGGACAAAATAGCAAATGTCAAACTTTGCCATACACCTTCACCTTAAGTATAAGCGTATTAGCAATCTCGCCAATGATAACATACCAGGGGACTTCCGTTGCATAATGGTCTACACTCCGTGATATGCCTTGGATACGAAGCCATCTAGCCTTTTGTGCAATACAGCGATTTGTAATTCGAGAAATCACTTGAGCTTCTATTACCACTCAAAATAGGTAGGACTAGAAGGATCTGTTATTTTATGCCTTTTAATTAGCTATACCCCCTCTGGTCGTGACCTCCGCGAATTCTTACGACACGGGAGGAAATAGGTTAGCTTTATAGCTATTTATACTTAGCTGACTTATTAGGGATGTTAGACTTAGCGGTGGATAACAACTTTTAAGACGCTCCTCTCTACACATAGCCTACGTCTACCTATCTATATTACAATTTATAACTAAGCATCTACATATATCTACGTAAGGTGCCAATAGATAGATATAAATAGATTTACCGGCCTGATTGCATCTATAGAGTCTAAATTCCCCCTCTAATATGCTAGTCTATCTATAACTACCCTTTCCCGCCTCTTAACAGAAGCCTACTCCAATATTAATACTAGTCCTGATTCTTCCCCTATCCCAGGAGGCGGCTCTAGTCGAGACTGGGCTTAGTGACGGCGTGGGGTGCCTTCTTGTTGTCTCTTAGCTCGACACGAGAAGTCGTGCAACTTTCCCGCGAGAGGTCGTGCAACTGTTCCACAACGTGGCTCCCGTGGGTCATCTTGCTCAGGAAGCTTTCGGGAGAGCCACCGGCAGAGGGGTGCTTCGCCGGCCGAACAATGCCCCATTGGATCAGAATATGATGAACCGGCGCCTTGAGGCAAGGCAGATTAGCAGCGATGACGCCCAAGAACAGCTGTAGGGAGGTACAGGTGTCTAGGCGAATGTTAAACAAGGCATCCCTACAGACTCCAAAGCATTTGACGAGGATAATGAGAAATACAAGGGCTGCTGCTGTCGCTGCTAGACCGGCACCCATTAAACCGCAAAGCAGTATCTTTTCGAGCGGAGACCGATGCATCGCGTAAATAAACGTAAGGGGCATAAGGGAGATGGCGAAATCACAGAAGATATGAAAGGCTGAAATATTATTAGCTCGTTTGCCGCTTGGGCTCTTTCTAAGCTTCCTTTCACTTACAGTAATGCGTAATCCAATAGCGTCTAAAACCGTCCACCGGGATACACCGGGTATCGGGAGTCGGAGCCCACAAGCCAGATAGAGGCCGACAGAGAGCCATCTGTACACACGTGGCGACGATGATGAGACACACTTGGAGGACGATAAGGCTTCGTAAGGCCCACCTCCACGCTCTCTCGTCCTTGAGGCGGAGCAGCATCAAGCACATGGAGATGCGTATGACGTTTAGCGCCCAGAAAAATATGAGGCCCATCGCGGCTTCGATCGGCCCAACAATAGAGGAGTCTTGGGTGTATTTCTCAATAGCCCGACCGTACTTGCTATACTCCAAGACCATCAAAGAGAACCAAGTAGTTGTGAGAGCCTGCAGCCTCGGGTGGTTAGCTCATATATAGGACGCGGGTGAACCATATGCTTTCCCGCCAGCAGCTTTGTATCTTGCAAATGCTCGCTGTCTTCACCAGTACTTACAAAAGCAAAAATCAACGTATAGTCATCCCAAGCGAGACGCCATCGGGGATAAATGCGGCAATAAATACGGGCCACTGTGCTGATAATAACGATGGCTATAACGATGCTAAATGGTGCTAGATAGGTGGCACTATGGTCCGGGCCAAGGGTGGCGGATTCTGACGTAGGCGCCGGCTCATTAGTTGCACTCGCCATAGCAAAGGCAGATTCGATTCTCCGGAATTGAGGATCAGGCCAGATAAGGTTGAAGGTTAAGACTGCCCGCCGTATCGTGTGAGACTATTGGTACTTGAGAGAATATTACATCGATCAGAACCGGAAGAGGGGCATGATTTCCTTCTATGACCTCCTATCTGGAATAGATATAACGAACTGGACTACGTTAGCTCGCCATAGTGTAGCAGCTAGGGAGCGAGTTATAGTTCAGCTAGAGACATAAGCTAGAAATAAATGCCTAAGGAATTATTGTCGTCGTCATTCGTATTAGTGTAGCGCCCGCAACGGCGGTCGGTGACGCAGATGGCGGCCGAACTAACTAGTGTACGGTAGTTGCATTTAATTATTGTGGCTTGAAGCTGTAACAAGAGAAACGGCATCTCCCGCTCTACGAGGCAAGCAGCGGGCGACATCTGATCTCGGCCAGTCGATGGCGTCCATAGTGTTCACTACTAGGGGCTTTAGATGGAATTTGCCGGCCTGCCGCCTTTTAATCTTCAGTGAGAGCGATACGGGGACCTTTTGTGCGTTTAGCCTAGCCAAGCCAGGACATCATCTCTGCAGGCTCTCAGCTTAATCAGCCATAAAAGGTGTATGGCGGCCAATACATGGCCACCTAGGTGCCCAAATTATGTCAGCAATTATCGCCCTGATTGGCCAGCGCATGTTAGACATGACTAACGCGACCTGCGCTCTGTATGATAGCAACATAGCTAACAAAAATAGAACAAAGCTGTCAAACTGCCGGATGCCAATTAGCAAGGCATTTTGGTTAAAGGAGCTACTTTTCCTAAAATAGAAAAGTTATATAATATTTTATCCCTTTTTTAGAGATTAATTAGGCTATATTAAAAAGGCCTTAATTAGATAGATTAATTAATTCATTAATAATTTAATAATTAAAAGTCTTAAAGCTAGATTTTTAAAACAATAGCTATAATTATAAAAAATAAATTACTAATTAATAAAATAAATTATTATTTAAATATATAATCCTTAATTAAGATATTATTAATTATAAATATAAAGACTTATCTTTTTAAAAAACTTAATAATTAAGATTTTTTTAAGTAATTTTATATTATAAAGATATTTATTAAAAGGATTTATAAGCTTAAGAAATTTATAAATTTAAGGTATTTTATAAATTAATAAGTCTAAGAGCTAAAGAGGCCTAAATTTAATAATTACTTTATAAAAATGGAAAATAAGCCTTAATAATATTTTTTAATTATTATTTTTATAATAACCTAATTAAAATGCTAAATAACCTTATATATTAAGTTAATATTAAAAAATTAAAAGGCTTATAAAGTATTAATTATAATTTATAAAAATAACCTTAATTAATATAATAAATAAATAAATAATATTTAAAATATACTTAATTAAATTATTAAAAATATTAATTTATATTATATTAAAATATATTTATTTATTATAAATAAATTTATATAATATAATAATATTTTATTATTTATTTTAAATTTTAAAGCTATATATAATATTAATAATATATTTAAAAAGAAATAAGCTTAAAAACAATATTTTAAGGTATTAAAAGTAATATTAAATAATAAAATTAATTAAAAAAAGTAAATTACTTCTTAAAAAGATAATATAAATTATAAAACTTAAAAGAGTTATAGAAATATAATCCCCCGTTTAGACTACTGCTCTTTCACTAATTTCACTTTATCTATTCTCATATACAAGGTCGATTAGTCACGTGCCCCACTACGTGTATTTAATTAATTGAGTCATGACTTTAGGTCGATTTGACTTTCGCCAACTAACTTACACAAAACTCAACACAATTCCTTCAAACCCCGCCTTTACCCCGCGTTCATCCAACTCTGTACGCAGACTCCCCGTCCTTACCAATTCAAGAGCAGCGCTCCGGCAACGTCGGCTGCCCTTGCGGATACACTGAGGAGGCACTCTTCGTATAAAGGTCGACTAAGGTTCCTTTGGATGGGTTGAATAAAGAAGGTTGATCTAGCTGCTGAGATACCTGCAGCTGGTATTAGTACTACTTGGTTAAGGCAGCAATCGCGTCATTGAGGCAGATAAACCTTATCTGATTCTGGCTTCTGTAATAATAGCCTGCTATAGGGGTCTTACCGTTTAAATTATTAATAGAAAAGCTAAAAAGCTTAATAGCTTTATACAAGGCTAAAGGTAAGGGAAAAATAAATATATCTAATTTACTTATATAATTAATATAAAGTATTAAATTGTATTTTTTATTATAAAAAAGTTTTATTATAATATTAAATAAAGCTAAGGCCCTTATTAAATATAGTAATTAACTTAATAATAAAAATATATTTTATTAAATTTATTAAGCTTATTAAGATAAGTGCCTTTTTTAATAAGATCTGCCCTTATTACTAAATAAGACTAACTTAAACTATACTTATATATAATAGTTAGGGTTTTTAAATAGGTAAACTAGTCTGTATTAGGTTTTATGTTTGCAGAGTTATAGGGCGTTATACTAAGCGATAGCGAAGTATTATGTTTCTTAATAGTTAATAGTGCAGGTTAGGCTTATTAAGGTAAAGAGGTCTTATTAATAGCTAGTAAGCTAAGTTCTATAAAAGTGCTAATAAATATAGTCTATATACTAGTAAATAATAATAGTAATTAGTAAGGCTATTACAGGATTAGTAGTAATTGTATTAGATTAGTACTAATTGTAATAGATTATTTATAATTATAGAGTCTTGGCACTAATCTGTTGCATAGGGCATGTGATAATTAGTAGAAAATGTAAGGTATATGTAATAGGACTGCTAGGGTTATAACACAATCTCTCCCCTCTATTAGGCCTTATCCTTAAGGCCTAGTTAATACATTTTCTATTAGTTATCCCTAGGTAAGTCTAATCTTAATCCTATAATCCCCTTAAGATATCTAACTGCATAGTAAAGGCTAAGAAAACTTCTACTAAAAATCATAAATCTCTTTATGTTCTTATTGCGGCATTTAGGAATCCTATTATGCCTTATTTTAACTGTATCTGTTAAAAGATAGAGGATTTATATGTCCTTAACCCTGTAAAATCGAATTGCTATAATTTATATATTAAGTTAGGAATATCTTATAATAGTTATGGCCTTTCTGTAGCAGCGGGTATATTTATTCCTTTATAAAACTGTTTTTATAGGTTTTGCTAATATAATATTAACTAAGAAAATTATTAATAAAAAGCGTTATTTAGAACAGGAAGAGGAAGCTGCTAAAGATAAGCTAATCACTCTTTAAGCAGAGTCTACTTATATTTATAATGCAATAAATACTTAGTTTTCTAAAATCACTTATTTAAGGCGCTAGCATTATTAAGTAGAGGTAAAAGGCCTAGATATAATCTAGTGCGGTTTTAACTTTATAAATAAACTTAAGAAGGCAGAGTAGGATAAGCAGGTGGCTTTAGAAGGTGCTATAATTAATAAATCCTTCTGTAATTAGTTTGCTGCTGCTAAGTAGTTTAAGTAGGATTTATTAGGTCTTAGTGCCTTCCTTAATCCTTTTAGTTTTAGTAGAAATTCCTTAGGAGTTATTAGGTATTAGTAAGGTATTTAGATAGTTTTTATATATTTTTGTTTTTTAGGTAATCCTTCTATTTAATAAGGTATTTTATTTATTTATTAATTTTTCTTATATCTTTAATTACTTCTGCTTTATAGACTTTTAGTCTTTTAATTTCTTTTAGTTTATTACTAGTCTTAATATATATTATATTAGCTATTAATTTAAGTAGCGCAATATAAAAGATTAAATAGAGCCTAACTTTTAGTAATAAGTTTAGTTTATAGTTATTTTCTAAAATTCTTCTTTTTATTTTATATAGCCTAATATATTTATAATCTAATTTATAACTTAGTTATTTTATTATAATGTTTTTTATAGCTAAGTAGACTATATCTCCTTCTGAGAAGGTTAGTCTCTTAATTCTTTTTATATTATAGTATTTTTTTATTTACTTTTTAATAAATTCTAATTTTTTCCTTAATTCTTTATGTAAGGCTCTTAGGTCTTTGCTTTTAATTATGGCGGCTAGGTTGACTGATTTTGGTTCTCGTGCTGTATAGTATAGGTCTGGGGTAAATTTAAAATTGGCTGCTAAAGGTGTAGTCTTAATGCTTTCGTTATATGCTGTGTTATAGGCAAGTTGGGCGCTTAGTAGCTTTTCTACCTAATTATTTTATTTATAGTTAATATAATATTATAGGTATTATTTTAATACTTAGTTTATTTATTTGGTTTATCTATCTGTTTGTAGTCTAAATACTATTAAGAGTTGGTAATTTAGTCTTATATATAATATTAGTGCCTGCTAAAATTTACTTATAAATATTATTCCTCTATCTATTAGGATTTTATATAGTAATCTATGTTCTCTGACTATCCTATTATAGAAAATATAGGAAAGTTATTCTGTATTTATGTCTTTTTTATAAGGTATATAGTAAGAGAACTTAGTAAGTTAATTAATTATAACTAAGATACTATTATAAAAGATTCCGGTTAAGGGTTCTTTTAATAAAGGTAGTTTAGTTATGCAGTTTATTATAATTAAACTTTATAGTCTTTCTACTACTTTTAGTAGGTATAGTAGGCTATAAGGCTTATATTATTATGCTTTAGTTTTTATATATAAGTTATACTATTTAATAACCTTCTTTACTATTTTTCTAATTCCTTCCTAATTATAATATATTTAGATATGTTTTAAGGTTTTCGTAATGCCTTAGTGGCTATATAGGAGATATCTATATATATCCTATATTAGTTTTTCTTTAAATTATTTAGGTACCTATAGTTTGTTGTTATAGGTAGGCATTTTGGCTTTATTCCTAATAGGATCCTAAATATTATATCTTATAGTATTGTTTTGGATTTTTTCTATCTATCTTTCCTAGTTTTTAGGCCTATTATTGCTTATAAGTCCTAGGGTTTCTGCTTATTAAGTAAATTAATATTCTCCTTTATTGTTTCTTCTTAGGAGTTGTTCTTTTGCTTTTATTATGCCGGTATTGTAATCCGGTCTTTAGCTAATAGCGTTAGCTTATCTATTATCTAAACCTTTATAGTAAATAATTATAAAATCGAATTTATATAAGTATTTAGCATAGTATAACTACTATTAATTAAGTTCTTATATTATAGTGAAATATAAGATGTTTTAATAGTTAGTATAGACTT